ATTTTACTAAATGATTCAGTAGTGTGCGCGTCACTCTTGCTTCATATCCGGCAAGTTCCGGGTTCAAACGTCTGCGAGAAAAACTGCTCTCCTAAGAGATTCTATGAGTTTACTCAACACCCGAAGCAAAAATCTAGATTATCTAAAATTAGTCACAGTCAGTAGACTGTCAATAGGCTTTCAAATTCATCATTACCTAAAACACTACCATGAGATGTTAGGTATAAAGTAAAGCTATCTCTGTAAAAGGCCGTGAAGGCCCATAGGGTTGTGAGACGTCGAGGTTCTCACAGTTTATAGACAGTCTGTTCACAGATGGAGGTGAGGTTGTCAGCCTTGAGCGCCGGCAGCCCTTTACTCCCAGGAAGATTCCTGGTACTCATCTCTGTTAGAGGCTGAGTCGACCCCAAGGCTATAGTGCGGCTGGAAGGATTAAGTAAATTGAAAAATTCAATGACCTTATAAGGAATTGAAACCGCAACCTACCGGCTTGTAGCACAATTCGTCAGTTAACTGCGCTACTGAGTGCCTCGTCAAATGTTAGATAGTTTCAATAATGTTTGCCATATTAAATAAACCGTAAATTGGCTATCAATATTAGCTCTTGACAAGAAAAATTAAATTTAATAAAGTAGATTTTAAGTGTAATGAGAAGTGCTTGAAAGTTCCATTAGATATAACCCCCGTAAGAAATTAATACCAAAAATACCTCAGATTTTGGGGGACGTCTCATACAAATATTGGCGTAAATACAAAAAGCTGTACATTTCTGATTTACAAATGATGCTCAGGTTGCATTAAACCTACACTCAAGAATTATTTATAGGCAGCAGAATGATTAAAGTAAGGAGTCATTAATATAGAGACATGAAATTCTGGGTGACCTTAATGAATGTGAGGGATTCGTCTGAATTTCAGAAGTTAAGATAAATAAATTGTAGATCACGTTCTAAAAATATATAATTAAATTCTAGGTTATATTAATTCAAAGAGAGATTTGTTTTTGGAAGAAGAAGAAGAAGAAGAAGAAGAAGAAGAAGAAGAAGAAGACAAGCATTTCAATATATTTAAAAATTTTAAATCACAAGACTTATATTCTTTCATGATCTGTTGAAATTATGTTTATGAGCTAAATATGTCTTCATTGTTTTCTTTCATAATAAGTTCGAATTAACAAAGAGTCTAAATATATAAATAAATATATATTTAATAAATAAATAATATATATATATGTATAACAAAGCGACAAACATTCGATAAGTTGGCGTGATTAGGAATCGACTGAGAATTGATACAAACTAAACCAAACTGACACAAGGATTACGTACTGCTGTTAATGTGGACAACAAAAATTTAGCCCCACAGAACGGTTCTAATACAAATATATGGCGCGTAGAGTCTTTCCTGCATCGCATAACTTTTATTTCCAAAATCTTCGGTTGTTTAGAGATGGAAAGTCACGTTTTATTATTCATCTAAAATATTTTATAAAATCGTACTGGAAGGACCACTGTCATTAACCGAGATATATCGTGCGTTCCCTAACACTGACCGGGGGGCGCCGTGTCTAAGAGAGATATCCCGTGCGTAGCATGACACTGATCTAAGGGTGACTGCCTGTAGGAGAAATATCCCGTGCGGAGCGGGACATTGAGAGATATCTCGTGCGGAGCATGATATTAAATTGAACAGTGACTGCCTGTAGGAGAGATATCTCGTGCGAAGCATGACACTGATCTAAAGGTGACTGCCTCTAGGAGAGATATCTCTTGCGGAGCATGATATTTAACTGAAGAATGACTGCCTGTAGGAGAAATATCTCTTGCGGAGCATGCCACTGATCTAAGAGTGACTGCCTGTAGGAGAGATATCTCTTGCGGAGCATGATATTTAACTGAAGAGTGACTGCCTGTAGGAGAAATGTCCCGTGCGGAGCATGACACAGATCTAAGGGTGACAGCCTGTAGGAGAGATATCTCTTGCGGAGCATGATATTAAACTGAATAGTGACAGCCGGTATGAGAAATATCTCTTGCGAGTATGATATTTAACTGAAGAGTGACTGCCTGTAGGAGAAATGTCCCGTGCGCAACATGACACAGATCTAAGAGTGACAGCCTGTAGGAGAGATATCTCTTGCGGAGCATGATATTAAACTGAAGAGTGACAGCCGGTATGAGAAATATCTCTTGCGAGCATGATATTTAACTGAAGAATGACTGCCTATAGGAGAAATATTCCGTGCGGAGCATGATATTAAACCGGACAGTGACTGCCTATAGGAGAGATATCTCGTGCGGAGCATCACATTGAACTGAAGAGCGACTGCCTGTAGGAGAGATATCTCATGCGGAACATAACACAGATCTAAGAGTGACTGCCTGTAGGAGAGATATCTCTTGCGGAGCATGATATTAAACTGAAGAGTGACTGCCGGTATGAGAAATATCTCTTGCGAGTATGATATTTATCTGAAGAGTGACTGCTGCAGGAGAAATATCCAGTGCGTAGCATGACACTGACCTGAAGAGTGACTGCCTGTAGAAGAGATATCTCGTGCGGAGCATGACACTGATCTAAGAGTGACTGCCTGTAGAAAAAATATCTCGTGCGGAGCATGAGGGACCTACTACTTCCATCTTCACTGTAGAAGGAAACTGAATACGTTGGAGGCACGCTCCTCCGATACGTTGACAGACCTTCGCCAGGCTACATGACGTCACATCCGAGAAGACAACAACAGTCACCTAATTCATTTCACTATGTATGGTAAACGTCACTAAAATAATAACATGTATTTTAAATTAAATCGTAACAATTATAACGTTTAAATAATTATTACTCAATTAATAGGCCTAACTGTAGACTATCCAAAATTACTTAATCATAATTATAAGTCGGTTCCTTTTCAAAGCTATATGCGGTTTTTGGGGGTTTATAGGCTTTCAGTAGACATGCCCTATGATGGCCTTTTCGAAAATAGTAACAAACACAAGAATTTAATAAAAGCAGGAAATCTCTTGACCTCTTTATAGATATCATCACCTTTTTACTCAGACGGTGCCTATAATTTCTATAGCTGGAAAGCCATAGATGTAACTACTGAGATATAGAACGGATAGCAACACTGGAACCGACATTCTTAAATATAAACAAATACAAAAATATAGGATCAGTACTAAGCACATGTATGTCGTCTGTAGCACATAAATTGTTAAAGTTATTCACATTCATTTAATATTCTGTTCTAAAGCACTTAGCAAACACATCTTCGGTAAGCAAACTAATGATTGATACTTAATAAACTGATCTCTGGTAAGAAACTCTTAGAAAAAGTCAGGTAAATTTGTTCCTGCGCTTAACTAATTAAGCACTATGCCACGAAGTGTGCGAGGAAGTAGATGTATAGATCCATATTTTCTTGACCTCTTCACTATCTGAGGATGAGTGATCAGCTTTACGCTCCGACCACTTATACCCGAAGGAAAAAAACTCGGTACCCATTGGACTGGAGCGTGGGTGGGCCCCAGAAGCGGTATGGTTGACGTGGAGAAATGCTTGATTCTACCGGGGCTCGAAATCCGACCTCTCGGTCGTCCAGCCCGTAACCAGTCTCTATACCGACTACGCTATCCCAACTCCAGGAAAAGTAAGAAGTTAAAATTTTTAGACGAAGTTACCAGATATACTGAACAGTCACGTACAGTACATAAGATTCTGTATTATCCAGATTGAGTGATGGGGTTGTACACAAAGAAAATAACCTGCGTGGTCAAAGGATTTACACCAACTTCTTTGATGATTTCCATTTTGAGTCGAAAACAAATAGATCATTCCAAAGAATGTCTTAGCAAAGTAATTATATTTTCATGCTTTTTCGAAACGACTAGGATAAGAGAACGCTATTCAATAGGTATGTACACAGGTTCCTTCAGAACATTCTTAAAATTGAATAATAGTAATTAAAGTTGTAATCCTAACATTAATAATATGTATGAATGGGAACTAGGGATAATTTATATTCGATAATAAATGAACAACGTAAATATACGAAACCTTAATATAAAAACTTATCAACTCCGTCCAGTGTGATTGATAAATGTTTCTGTTTTTTCCTTTTCAATCTTTCATCCTTGACATGTTTCGGTCGGAGCGACCATCTTCAGAAGGACATATCAATACATACGGAAACTACTATTACAATGTGAATGATCATTATTAATACATACATACAATACCATTATAATATCATGAAAATAAAGTATAAAATATTGATATGTCCTGAAGATATTCGCTCCGACCGAAACATGTCAAGGATGAAAGATTTAAAATGAAAAAAAAAAACATTTATCAATCACAGTGGACGGAGTTCATAATCATCTTTACTATGGCTAGTGTGACGGACCAGGATGAACCAATTCAAATTTATAATAAACCTTATTTCCCTCTAAGCATTCGCATGCTGCTTTTCGTATGTTAGTGAACAAGCAAGCGCAAGAAAGCGACACCAAATATGAACATGTGACACTAACAAACAAAGTTTCAAAATGTCAACTAGATCACCAGATTGTCCTTCCCACTCTTAAGACAGGTGTTCTGAGGGGTCTTAACTTTTCTACGCAGCAGAAAACAAGTGATCACAAGCGTAGGCTTAAAAAACGCGTGAAGTAGATACAAGTAGACACAGTTGCCTTCTTCCTAGAGTGGTCTAAACGTAAGGTACTATCACTAGACAGACTGCAGGTAAGGGCGAACAGAGATTCCTTTTACTGACGTCACTCGACGGTGTTTTCGCTAAGGAAAGAATAGTCAGGTTATTATACGTTTGGTGCAAAACCGTTCATAGCGTCTACAGACTCAAGATTTGCAGAAATATGCAAACGTGTGTTGCGCGCAAGTTATTATAAAACTGAGGTACATCCTTTTTGAACCAAACGTTTCAGCAGACAGTAATTAAAAACGTCATTAACGTCTGAACAGCTATATTTGTGGCGACATACCTGAAGCGTAAGGCCGACTTGACCCGGGAGTAGAACTGTTCTCTTGAGGTATGCCACCTAGTCTGCAGAACTGAAGTAGAGCCGTTAGTTCTTGAGGTTAATCCACATGTATTTATTGGCCGTGACTGGAACTTCGATACCCGGTGTGTAGGCACAGTATAGTTCTAAGTTTATTATAAACAGCCAGGATCTAAGTAATTATTAAATAATAGGAACTTTCAGGTTTAATTTTCAGGACGGTTGATCAGGACTATCCGATAGGCAATAGCACCTACAGCAAAGTCTGGAATTCGTTTATCACAAAATTTCAGAAAGAAAAAAATGATCACATGCCTATTTTTTGTTTTGGAAATGAATTTTAACAAAAAAATATATATAGATATTTTGGATGGGGCAACAAATCCAGGTTTGGTCAAAGAACTGAAACGTATTAAGATATCAGGTCACCAACTTAGGATGGATAAAATGGATAATAAAAATTGTTGATATTTTGATATTTTGATTTCTGAAAAAAATTACTGTAAGGTCAAACTTAAATAAAATGGCTTCCTGATTTTTTATAAAAAGGTGGTTAGCTGTAGGTCAAGTAGGAAGAAGGATTTTTTCTACTAGGAAGATATGGTGGAGAGTCCTATAGGATCATGGAGAGTCCTGTCAAGGGTTCAGTAACGTAGTTGGTTGTTGCTATGCCTGGTACCTTCAAGGGTTAACTGGGATCACGTGCGCAGGCTAGAAGGACGAGGTTAAATATTCGGAAGTGTAGTGGAAGGCTTCTCTAACTCCGATATCTTGTCTGAGCTGCAATTTGCCCTGGTCCAGTCATCATTAATAACCGCTGCACTGCTGTATGTGAACACGTATCCAGAATGTTTCCACTGTCACTAGGAACTGTCACTTTTGGTTGTTGTCCAGGTAGTTCACAGAAATTATTACAATTTTCTGACGTTTCCTTGAACGGTGTATAGATTAGGAATGTCTGCTCCTGCAAAGCCTTTTATCATGATGCAAATATAGCCACAGATGTAATATTCCATGTGTAGCCGATGTAATTCACACGAAATATGAGTTCATCTTTTGGATATCACTTTAATCTTTTTCTTTGTAAGTGTTTATAATCCTGATTGTGGACAATAGCCACTTCATTGAATTTTTTCTTTTTTTGTTTAAATTTCAGATTAACTTGTCACATATGAGTAGTGTTTTTGAACGTCAGTATTAGTTCCATTTTTATTTTGCGTTATTTCCATGGGGAAAGCATAAAGTCACAATTCAAACCAGTCAGTTTCTGTACTAGCCATTTCTTCAAATAGTGTCACTGTAACATGGAAATATAACGTATTTTTAATTGCACTAACCAGTAGACAAACTTAGAATTACCATAAATATAACTAGAAATTTCATCAGATAATGAAGTGTTTTATTACGAAAACGCTACTTAATATACTACAGAAGTAAATTAATATTCAAGATGTAAGCTTATATAATTTATATTTATTTTGAAATTTATTAAAATTTAAATATATTAAAACTCAAATAAAAATGTAAATTCTTCAAAATAAAAAATAAGTCATAAAAGATCATATAACGAAGCCATGCGTTTAAAAAAAGCAAGCGCTACCAACTGCACGTCTCAAATTGCCACTAAAGAAATAAGCACAACTACAAAAAAAGTTGGCGTCTTCCAACCTGACTGCCCTGCCTATTCTAGCACCGGTCGCCTAAATCCACATGACACAACTGAGGGCTGGCAGCAGCATGCAAGCCTACCAACGACCGAGAGGGGTAAATCCACATTGCTATGCAAGCAAATGCAACTGCACTTCCACTGCCTGCCTGCACTCCTACCCCGCTCTTTTCTCACTGCCATGTGATCATCATCATCATCAGCAGCAGCATCAGAGCAATATGAGAGACCGCCATTTCACACACATACACACACACACACACACACAAACGTACATATAGTATTGGTCAATCCCAACCATCACATCCTTCCAACAATGCGAGTCTATCGTATCTTTCTGGCAAGCAAGCATGCATGTGTGTGCATGTGAGGGGGAGGAGGTTTTAGAGGTGGAGGGGGTGGCGCACGAAAGGGTTAGTATTTGTGGAAAAGGGTGCTAGAAGGGGGAGGTTTAGGAGTGAGGAGGTAAAACTGAACAAAAATATAACGTAACCTCCCTTCCTCTCCGAACCCCGTACCATCACTCTCCCCTTACCGCACCCGCGCGCAGTACACTGCATATACGCAATACAGAACAACAAACGGCCTACATAGCGCATACAAAATGATTGTCAACAGGGCTATTGGACAGCCCAACCTAGTTCCATGTTATGAGAGCAGTTTTTCTCGCTGCAACTCCAAAACGAGAGGCACTGTTCTCTTAATACTACCTGTGTCAATAACATTTCTACTCTGTTTCGTATTTGGGAGGTCCCTGGATTGAACCTGCGGCCCTACATAGGGGAGCCCATGTCTCCCTGAGGTTCACCACTGCTTTACAGATATATAGAGAAATATACGCCGTGTTTGATCCAATTTGGGGATGCATTTAATGAGTGGGGGAAACGAATAAAATCTAATAAGATACAAACCTCCTTTAAACACGAGCCTCAAGAATTAAAAGAATAATAAACAAAGGAAGTAACGGACGCCTGATGGAAATTTGTAATGCTTTACGAGCGAAACTTGCCTCTTCCTTCAGTGAACATGTAACTAATTGAAACGTGATGCAAGGCTAAGGGACTCTAAAAGCAGAAACACTACAGAAGACAAAATTACCGGAACCCTATGCTATACATACGAAGCAGTTGGAGAATCCACATAAATTATTATTAATAACATTAATAATAATACCAATATAATTTTGTTTCTATTAACACTTGTAATACATTCCGTACATATTTAATTCGTACAGCAGTGGAATAAAATAAGTTAAACATCCGCGATTATTTGTCCCGAAAGTAGGAATGAACTAGTGAACAAATTACAGTAAAGTAAGTAAGTAATAATAATTATAATAATTTAGGTGAGTGTATATATCACTACTATGAGAAAGTTTAAAATAATTCTTCACAAATAATGTTTTTCTTAACTCTGTACATAGTGCAACTTTGTTATAGAAATTTAATACCCAGGGCATTCATTAACACCAATAAGTTACTGTAATGTAGGCACTGATGATGATGATGATGATGATGATGATGATGATGACGTCGATGACGTTCTTCGAATCTCACATACAGATTCTTCAATCGCGAATCATTCGACACTAATAAAAATCGTAATTTCTACATTCTGACTGATCTTACACGAAGTCCAAACTAAATTGGAGTCATGAATAATAATAATAATAATAATAATAATAATAATAATTCAATTCAATTCAATTCTTGTTTATTTACGAGCAAACTTAACATCACAGAGGCCAATAATAATAATAATAATAATAATAATAATAATAATAATAATAATAATTACTATAATCTTACTGTGGGTTTCCATAAGTGTGCCTTTAGAAGAGGACATGCAATCCTCCTTCCAAATCCCTGTCTGACTCTACATGTTGATATTTTTTACGACACTGAAAGAAGTGCACTTAATCTTGGAGCACAAAGCAGCCTGTCACAGCTGGCCTGGAGGGTACCTCCAGTGTCCACCCTTTAGAGCATCAGGGACGACTCTAAGTAGGTCAAACCTTTTTACTGTCTTGTTGCATCTTGAAAAACTCGTCAGAATATTTTTGAGATGCATCGTAATGTAAGAGAAAGCAGAGGGGAGAATAAAATTATAGGGGGTAGAGATAGGGAGAAGGTTAAAAGAGGGGATGTTACCAATGTGGAGGGAGGAATTGTTTTGTATATGCACAGAACCTATATCTGCATTTCGATGCGTGAGGTAAAAGATAAAAAAAAAACGAAATGTATATATAGATGATTTCCAACCCACCCCCTCCGGCTCCCAAACTCTCCATATATGCACTCATGCAATTTCTGCATCCCCCCTGCACACCCGTATCTGAGTCTCACGCAAACTGCAACCACCCCCCTTGCCTCCCACCACCCAGTCAATATTCAACCCCTACTTTTTCAGTCATATATGTATGTGCAATGCTTCTGTACCCCCTCCAAACTTCCGATACTGCACGAGCTTCGTAGTGACCGCCCCTCTGGGTACACTCTCGTACTCTCACAATAGTGTCAAATGACTGCATCTTTAATTTCCATTCTATCAGTGTGGATAAACATGATGTGTACACGTGACATTTTATCATCTGCTGGTCACAGCGAGGAACCATTATCAAATATATTGTAAAGACTGGCGGTGCCAAGTTTGATGCTTTACAAGTGCGTACACAGCGCCACGTTACGATAATGAAATGAGGGCATGAACAAAAAATCAGATGCATTCTTACCTCGATATTAGCGGCCTCCGTAGTCTTAGAGGTAACGTTCCCACCTCATGACTCGTGGTACGCGGGTTCAAATACCCGGCGGAGGTCGTCGAATTTTTAAGGGCGGAAAAATTCAGGGAACAAGTCCTCCGGGAGGGACTTTAAGCCGTGGGTCCCGTGTCGTAACTTTACGGCATGTAAAAGAACCTCATATCTCCAAAGGAGGTCACTGAGCCAAATTCCAGGACGTTTCCCGCCCAACAATAGTCTCTAAGGCCTCTGATAGATGGGGGAAGCATTATAGACACCGCTAAGCAAGTGGCCGAACTCGCTTGCTCGGCGGGACTGATGGTACGCACCATTATCGGTAGGGTAGAGAGACTGGTAGAATATCATAGAGGGAAGCACAATGGACCAATACTGGTCTAAGTGCATGGGGAAACCCACCCTCTCCAATAACTAACTAATTAACTAACTCGTTATAGCTTTATAGACAATTCCATTAATTTCATCACTCTGTAGTTTGCAGTTAGTATATTAACTGGCTGAATCTAGCTCCTTACAAACAGGGCGATACATGCCCTGACGTTGAATTATGTTCAAACTCAGTATGTTGTTCTAGGACGTAATTAAAGAGACCCATATCCCTGCTCGCGAAATAATATTAAATTGGTGCGTGATTTCTTGAAGACACGAGAAAGTAAGTTCTCTATAAATATAAATATTGTGAACTCATAGGACATTTTTACATATCTCTCAAAGTAACTGTGGTATTGCCATTTCACTTACTTAAAATTTCATATCTCAAGAAATTGTGTTTAAGCACAGAGGATCCTGTATTATAATGTAACATGTAAAAATGTAAAGTCATCCCTGTAACAGACGAGCTGGAATAGCACTGTCAGTATAGCGACTGGCTACTGGTTGGGCGACTGAGAGGTCGGAGTTCCAGT